TGAAGGAATATTCTGACTAATCGCTTCTAAGCTGAATTGTTGTTTATAAAGATTGGATTTTTAAAATTGATTGAAAATAGACTCTTCACTTATATTTAGATTGATCTATGCTTAAAAAACGTCGAGGAAGACTTTGTTAATCTTTTATTAATCATTATATCGATTATAATTGAAGAGTTTACGTTCACAAACCATTTTATATAAATATATAGCTTTAAGAATCGAACAAACATGATGAAGTTAAATGCCTAATCACGTATAGATAGAACTGATATTGATCTAGCAAGAAGGGACCAAAAATTGCTGACTAAGACTGTCACTGTTCATTTTATTATCGCGTCATCAATGTTACCCCGGCATATTAATTAGACATCATTGCATCGTTAATGTCAATTAATATTTGTACTCCATTTTAAAAGGAGAAAAGCGTATCTCTAAATACTGAACCTACTAAATACTTGACCTATCGAATTATCTCAGGCCTCAAACTTGACGACGATAAATACTCTCGCGAATTTTTTACCCACCGTGTATATAATATATTATTCACGCATCCTCGATCAGCGATCCCCGGAAAAATACCGCCCGGAGTCTTGTTGCCGGCAATTTATCTTTGGGGTTCGTGCGTTTGGCAGGACTTAGTCCCGAACTTAAAACGTAACTATACATATAACGTTGTTGTAAGTGGCGTGTGAGTGCGGAGAGATTAAGGAATTGAGAAAGGGAAGGGCGCCCTTTGCAGCACGAAACGCCGAAAGCAAAAATGCCAGTTGAATTCTCCCGTAGTAGACTTTGTCGACCACCTGAGTAAAGGTACGAAACTTGTTAGTTTAGCTAATTTCTGCAGTTCTTTAATTTGCAAAAAAAATTGCAATATATATTTTTTTATTGATTTTTTATGTATCAATATTATATTGATATAATTGCCCATTTTTATTCCATCTCTATTTAATAGAATTTTCACAAAATTGTAGCAAAGTAATTATACAAGATAGATATATTTTAATATCATGCAGCTTTTAGATTATTTTTTAACCAAAATGCTCAGGTAGCAAGCATGCGTCATTTTGATGTCATGAAACGTCAAATGACGTCATTTTGACGTTTAATGACATCAGTTTGCTGCTTAGGTGGGGAAAGAACTTTTTTGGAATTTATCGAGCAGTCCAAATCCATATTGTTCCGGCAATTATCAATGACCTTGAAACTTATACTTTGAAAATCCCCGGGTCATTTATACCAGTATTACTCATATAAATTTTGTTGTCTCCTCCCGAATACATGGTTCTCTCACATAGTCGAAAAGCGTGTCCGAACTGTCTTAATTCTGCTAGTATTGTAACTAACATGATTTAATGACTTGCCGATAGAGTGTTAGTTCCTGTTGACCTTGACGAGCTCCTACACGTTTTTTTCTCCCATTTTTTTATCGCTACAATATTCTTACAGGCAGATTTCGGCCGCTCAACTAACTATTTATCAACGCGTTCGGAGAAATCGTGTGTGTGTGTGTATGTGTAATATTCTCGAAGAAATTCCACACCGAAACTTGCCGATTTATGCTTTCTTTACGGCTCGTATATCCCGCTATCAGCAGCGGAGAGCAGCAACAGGTTCCCGCAACCTGTTGCGCAACGTTGACGAAAAAAATTCCTTATATACCGAATGTGCGCACGTTACATTTGCAACGTCGTAAGTATATATTTTCTGGTCACCTGATATCTCATATTCGCGCGATATTTTATAAAATATCAGGTAACCGGAATTAAATTCTCTCTTCGGCGCAATTTCCCAATTATCGAAATTTTATTGAGCTGCAATCAAATTTTGTGGCGCGCGGACGAGGATTTTTCTTTTTTTAGCATGATTAAAATTTATGCGATGTTATAAATACGCGCATATTATTAAGATAATAATTTAATGAGTGCTAAAAATTGAATTCTGAAAGCCGCAAATTATATATATATATATATATATATATATATATATATTTCGCCGAGAGAAATTCCTGTTATCCTGAGAAAAATAATTATTTATCAAAACATTTATACAGGGTGTTAAAAAATTTGACCGACAAATTTATTTAAACTAAAAACGTCGTAGAGAAAAATAGTATTAACAAAAAAGTTTATTTTGAAAAATGATTATTTCTTCTATTTCCCTTTAAAATTTGTCGATCTAATTTTCTAACACCCTATATATAAAATATAAATGTATGTATACATTTCGATACCTTAAAAATCCCGAGGATAAAGAATTGGCACGTATGAATCTTGCCATGTTTTTCCTTATTATTATTATTATTATTAATATTATTATTATTATAAGAGTTTTAACAAGGCTCTGTAATATAATATAAATTTAACGTATAAGACGGGCAACATTATTATTATTATTATTATTATTATTATTATTATTATTATTATTATTATTTGTACTTATTTTGCAGAACCTCTAGTCCTAGAATACTTTCGTTCATGCGGAAGCATAAGACTTTAGAATTCTGATTATCATCATATAATTACGCGATTGAGATAAGATGCTTGAAATTTGCAAACTCGAAATTAAATTTAAGAAAAAAATTGTATAGATGTGCGTGTGTATGTATGAGTAAGGAATAAAAAATAATTGATTAAAATAAAATACGCGATAAGTAGCATATCAAAAAAGAAAAGATAGGAAGAATCTCAATATAAGAAAATAAGATGATGAATCAAAATAAGCTTTATAAATGTCACAAATTTTGCATATTTATTAATCTGCAACAAAATAATTAATTGAACAAAATAACTATTTCGCTATGATTTTAAATATTTAAATATATAAAACCATTTGTGAATTCTATAAAGTCGGTAAAATATTTTAAGCGCATTTAGAAAATTAAGTTTAATTTTATATTGTTAATATATGCGCGGTCGTGAAGGGTTCATTAAAAAAGATCTGCTACTTAAAAATAATAATAAAATATCTGGATATATGTTGTGTGTATATGTATGTATCCGAGAAAAATGCGAGAGCTTCCGTTTTTATCAGTAAAATTCCAATTTCACTTACTTAGCTGAAACAAGAAATGATATTTGCGCATTAAATTTTAGTATTAAGGATAAAAATGTTATTTCATAATTTATAGTATAAAACATCTTTTCGAATATAATAAAAAATAATATCAAAAATTATTTTATATACAACAATGTTTTTTTATATATAAATTTGGAATATTATTTTCAATTTGTATAAAATCTTCATATGTATTTTACGATATATACATACATATATACATATACATTTGCGATGTTTATAGCAACTTCCTGTACAATTGAAAAAAGAGAAAGTAGAGAAGAGAAAATTTACATCACGATATGTTCCACTGAACCATAATAAGTAAATCGTACGGAAATGATTTACGTAAACATGTTTGATAATCGATAATGATGTGACATAATATGCTTTCGTTGTAATAAGTACGATCCCTATTGAGGAATCAAATTCTGTGAAACTACCGTAAAACACAGGTATATTGCGCAAAAATACACGCAATAAAAAAAAGAGAAATATAGAAATATTAAATTTTAAAAACGTATGACTACACTAAAAAATAAGCGAATTTTAGATCTGCGAATAGAGATATAAATAGAAAAAAATAAAATGTTGGAAAAGTTTTTTATGACAAAAATAAGCCTTGTTTTTTTCAGATATTCAATATCTTTATATTTTTGTATTACTGTAAATTGATTTTTCATTATTTTTAATTTTTTGGATGATATATTTTGAATAATAGTCTCATTAATTAATTTAAATTACTTTCAAAAAAAATTAATGAAAAATATAAGAACTTCAGTTTTTTAGTGTTAACAAAAAATAAAGTGAAAAGAAAAAATAATATATTTTAAAAATAATGAAAAAAAGATTTTTTCTATGGTTTTTATTTTACATCTCTATCTATCGCAAATATAAAGACAGAAAGAATAAAAATAAAGTACCTAGTCTCTGAAAATTTGATCATGATATTATGACCAACGTTTTTAATGTCCGAAAGTGCTTTACTATTTTACATAATTGTAATACTGCTTTGTTGTAACGAGAATGTTGAGTAAATTTTTACTTGCATTACATTCAAGTAAACTGAGAACGACTCGGCTAAATATATATGTACATAATGGAAAGAATATATATATATATATATATATATATATATATATATATTCTAGAGATGTGTATTTTTTTGAAACGGGCAGGATAAGAAACTGAAAATATGTAAATTGTTTTGCCGCATTTGTAAGTAGTGTAGTGATAATGCATTTGCAAGTAATATAGTGTGTAACTTAATCATGCGAGTAAGTTATTCGTGTTGGGTCCACATATAATACACATATAGTACAAAAGTGTTTTAGCTTTATGTACTGATAGTTGTTATGTAATAACAGTAGAAATATATATACTTGCTATGTAATTAATTAAAAAAGAAAAAAATAAATTATTCTGAATATATATGTATATTGTTGCTATAGATTATTTTTAATCATGATATAAATATATATTCGAGTATGATATATTTTTTTGTTTATATCAATATTTGCTGCATATCATCATAAACAATCATACAATATTAATAATAATAATATAAGTATGCTGTCTTCTAAGCTTATTTCTGAGATTAATAATAATATTTTGCAAGTTTGTCTCTCTCTCAGGAACCAAATTGGTGGAACTATTAATAACTTTATGATCAATTTTTTAATTAATTATACTACATAAAATAGAATAAAATTTTAAAAATTATAAAAAAAAAATATATAATATTTATATATATATATATATATATGTATATATAGATTCTTCTTCCGTTTTATATAGATCGAGCAAGAACAATACAACATACAATATATCATACATTTTTTCTGCATGAATTATTTATACAATTATGTATATATATTATTCAACTATATATAAAAATATATATACAATTTGTTGAGAAAAATATTACAAAAAGAGACTCTATATATATATAGTCTAGATACAATTCTTTATCGCTATATACATAATATTAAACTTTGCTATCATCATGTTGTCCTTTATAGAAAGTTAGTAAACTGAATCTTACTAACAATAAGTAGCTGGAGCCAGAATTAAAAATTATGCTAATCAGATGCCTTCTTACAGGCATCACCATATTCATTAGGAACTTCTTGCATCATTTATGGTAGATGGTACTCTCACCTCAATACCATCTAGTTCTTCAGTCATTATGATTTGACATCCCAATCTCGATCTGCAATTGAATAGATTGCAAAATGACATTAAACGTAAATAAGTGTTTTGTTTTAAATATCAGAAGTTGTATAATGAAATCAGAAAAAGAAACTGAAACGACTGATTTGAATAACAAATAACTGAAGATGTTTAATGATTCCGCTAAAGGCAAATTTATTTTTCTTTAGGGATGCATGGCATAGGAAATGTATTAGATACAGGAATTCATGAATGAATGCAACGGACATTATACTGTAAAATTTGGAGTGTTTTCTTCTGCGTTTTACGATCTCTCATTAACATAAAATATATACTTTTCGACCAGAATAAGAGAAAGAGAGTCAATTCAAATTTTTAAAACGTACGTATCAGTTAACTCATATGCCAAATCCAACATATCCGTCTCCTCATCTGTAGGTTTGTTTGGAAGATTATCGTAAACATTCTTAGGGAAAATTAAATGACATGTGCTGCACGTCAGGGTTCCTTCGCAAGCACCTGTATTTTCAAGACGAACAATTTTCTTTCATTGATTAAAGTAATACATAATCATTAAGAATAAAAACAAGATTTTCATACCATAGCCATCCAAGTCAATATCATTATTCACAACAATATCTAGGATACTATCTCCCACTTTCCCACTTGCTTTTATCCTCTCTCCGCTGGTTTTAACAAATGTTATACTAATCCTGAAGCAAACAGAAATTTATTTTTGTATTTGCCGACATTTAAAAAATCAATTTATCCACATTGCATTCCCAGAGAATTAATTTTTTTAACACATCTACAAACTAAATCATATAGTATATACCTAATTATAATTATAATATAAATTTTAATTAATTATTTACGTTTTGCTAAAGTAAAATATAATCTATCTAAACAAATTTATCTATATATATTTTTATTTAGATAAATAAATATTTTTCGCTAGACTATATCTTACTTATATATATATATATATAATCTCTTTTTGCACAGTCATTAAAATTTCTGCATCAGCAGGAGAAAGGTGTCAAAATCTGACAGTTCTCACAATTTTAAATTAACAATGCTAATTATGTCAACGTTAATCACTTTGCAACAGGTTGCAAGGAATTAAGGCTTAAAAACTCGACGTACTCACTTGACTTGTATTTTTTACTTACTCTTTCTTCTTGGACAGCGGTTGCGTGGTGGACAGTTGATTAGCCGCGCATTTGACATAATTTGGGCCGAGCCGAAGAAGGACCTGGACAGTCTCTGCAGCTTTCGCACCAGTGCCATTATTTGAATGTCCGAATATATATTAATTCAATCGAGCGTCGTCGAATAATAAATAGTTCCAACTGAAGAGGTTACACTCACGCGCTGAATGCATGCATGCCACGTTTGAGCTATTTTTTTTCTTTTTAATATTTATTTTTCTTTAACCTTGTCCACGTTTTGATAATGACGAGACGACGGGGATGGACCTTGCGCGAAAGTCGCGACCAGTTACGAAACGCGGCACGTCACTTTCCCTTAATTATGCATGTCCACGACCATCAAAGTCCACCACGCGACTGACAGTTCGACGACTAAACTGATCGAGGATCCAGAACGATCGTTTGTGTGCGTTCGTATTTCGTATTATTAAGGTGTGTTCGGAAATCCTGCTTAAGTAAACCGATTGACCAATTAGAAGAGAGGTCTCTTTTCTGATTGGTCAATAGGATTCTTTTCCAGTCTATCAGCAGGGCGGATTTTTCATTTTAATTTAAAAATATTTTTTTATATTTATAAAATATAGAAATAGTTTTAATTTTTAAAAGAAGCCTTACATTGGATAATATTTAAACGTAATTATTTATAATTTATATAAATAAATTATTTTGATGAACTTATATTTTATTTTAGCAAAATATAAATTAAAATTTACATTATGATTATTCCAAGTAGCAAACTGACGTCATTCGACGTCCAATGACGTGTTTGCTACTTGGATATAATTGATTTGCGCAGGATGTATTTTAATTAGTGCGAAAAATTTTAAAGATGATTTTTTGTCGAAAATTAAAAATTATTACATTTTCCTAGAGGGAGATAAAAATAAAATTTTTAAAAAATTGATAAAATTCTTTTTATTAGTGAAATATCCACCAAGTTCTATCTTTTTAATTTGTCTAAAATTTGAGAAAAAAAATAAAAATTTTATTTTTACCTTCCTCTTTAGAAAAGTAATTTTTCAGGGAGAAGAGTATGTTTATATAAGAAATCGTCCTTAAATTTCGACAAAGAATTATCTAAAATTTTTTGCTCTTATTTATACATCCTGTATACTATATTATTTAGTTCATAAATGTGTAAAAAAGAAAAAATTCTCTGAATGTGTGAGTAGATGGACAAATTTTTTAAATTTGTCGACAAGTCTCTGAGAAAAAATAAAAGAGACAATTTATGTATTCTTACAAAACCATTTAATAAAATAACGAGATTCAAGGAAATAGACAAAGAAATGTTGATGAATTCTAGAGAGAGATAGAGCAAGAGAGAGATAAAGAATGAGGAATTTATTATATAATCTATGCGTTAAATTATGTGTACATAAGAGATGCACAAGATTGATCAGGCGCACACGTGTTCCTCCACGAAATTAACTAAAAATTGAAAGTTAAACTTTTAATTTAATATCCCGTATGTAGCGCTATTGTAATTATATTTGTTTACATTTTTCTTATTGATAGTTCCTCTGCAACTCTGTACTTTGATCATATACAAATAACATAGAGCACTTACACATTGAAATTACATCAATTGAAGTTAAAAGAAAGCCACAAGACTTTTAATATACTAGGTACAACTGACACACATCATTAATTGAAATATAAAGTACAATAAAAATGATGGAAACATATATATAGTTTTAATTAAACAAGATGGTTTGGGAAAAATACAATAATAATGTATAATTTTTCTAAGAAAAAAATCAAGATGATTTCAAAAGAAAAAAACGGAAATAGAATCGGAATCTAGTTAAAACAAAGATGCGCAGGAAAGAACGATTTCACAATTATATATCCGCCTTTTCGACCTTAACTTTCACGTTGTCCTTAATCTTGTTATTACCGCTTTTATCCTCGATTTCACTCTTTTCGCTTTCTTTCTCTTTTCCGGACTGCTGCTTCTTATCCGAATTGCGAAAACGATCGTAACGCGAATCCTCGTCGTCGCTCGATTTCGACGCTCCTGCCTCGCTTTCTCTTAAAATATCGCCTAGATCTTTATCAACGTCTTCCCAAGTCAATTTATCGTCACCGTGGGCGTGATAGTCGTCGTCGTCATCCTCGTCACCCTGATTGTCCTTACCGTCTGTCGCATTCTTGTCGGATTCCATGCTATTCGATTTTTCCTCCACGATCTTGATGTATTCCGGGTCGCCGACGCCGTTATTATCGATCGTGATCACCATTGGCGTCGTATTCGTCGAGGCTTGCGGTTCGGAATTCGCAGGCGAGGTCTTTGACACCTCCGACGCGTTGATCGCAGTCGAGTTGGTAGAATTCAAATTCGCCGATGAGGATGACGATGACTGCAAGTGTATTCTTTCCGCTTGACGTCTAAGTGCCTTGTCATCATTATCTCGAACATACCTGCAACACATGTACATTTATAAAATACTGCTAAATGTATTGATAAGTCATATATAGTAGTACTTATAGTATATAGTATGTAGTAGTATTATATATATACTATAAGTACTATTATTGTGTACTAGTATATAAGTATACTATATATTATACTATATACTACAAGTGCTACTATACTATACACTAGTATTAGTATTAATAAGTACTAATTAGTACTAATATACTGGTACTAATAAGTATACTATGTACTATACTACACACATACTATAATATATACTATAAGATATAAAAATATTATATATAGCATACTAGATATATATAGTAGATATATCTAATATATAATAAATATATAGTGCATAGTAAATATTATACTATATACTACAAATGCTACTATACTATATACTAGTACTAGTATTAATAAGTACTAATTAGTACTATATACTGGTACTAATAAGTATACTATGTACTATACTACACACATACTATAGTATATACTATAAGACAAAAATTTTATATATAGTACACATACTAGATATATATAATAGAAATATCTAGTATATAGTAAATATATTTATACATCTTTATAAATTTGTAATATCTCTATTTACTTATGCTGCTGAGGATATATTGATAAACACAAATGGTTTATACCGTTTCAGGTGGCTACGCATGGAACAATGTAGGGCGAGTGCTCTTTCCGTGTTTTCGTTGCGTGGCAGATATACCTTGCACAATTCGCAGTATTGTACCTCGACACGTTTTATATATTCCGCGCCGACCTTTATCATTTGTTTGCCCTTCGATTTCTTTTCCGCTTCGCTCGAACTTTCACCCTCGGTCTTCTCCTTCTTTTTATCATTAGATTCTTCATCTTCTACAGATGATAATATAAAATGTTTAAAGATAAAAATAAAAATGATGCGATGAGAATTAAATTAGAAATACTCGATATATTCGTCACGTACCGTCCACATCACCTACGGAATCCAACGTCATAAAGTTGTCAAGATTAACTTCCTTGTCGTCTTCCTCGGGCGCGCTGGAGTCCGGTTCAGCCTCGCCACTCCCATTCGCGTTCATTCTTTCTCGCAGTATACTCTTCCTCTGGCGAAAGAAAGGCTTATGTTAGTGATACTTTTCCAAGACAAGACTGAATAACATTATAGGGTAAGAATTACCTTAATGTGCTCCAGGGAGCACATATGCGTTTCGAAGAACATCGGTGATCGAAATTGGATGCGACAGACGCGACAGAAGGGTGTCAGAAATCGTTTCATCTGTCGGTGAGACTCGGACAATTGATGCGCAGCCTTCAGAGATCGATAGTTAAGTTTACAAATGGCACAAAACATGGTGCGCGAGGGCAAAGTGCCGCGTGCCGCGTCTCGAGCCTCGATACGCCGTTGCTCCTGACGTTGAACGACTCTCATCCTGGTGAGGGTGGCCTTGTGTCGGGCCGCTATACGCTTCATCGCCGCGCTATGACGACCGGAGAACAAATGGAGCGAGTATTCCTTGAACGTGACGCTATGATGGGCGCAATGCGGGCACTTGAGCTTGATGAATTTTCTACCGTCTCGCCTGCTCGGTAATTCTTCAGAACCTGTAGCCCTGTCGCGTTCCGCCTTCTCGTTCTCGTCCCGTTCCTCGTCCCTATCATCGTCGTCGTCTTCCTGTTTATTAAAAAATATATAATACACACACACACACACACCACACACACACACACACACACACACACACACACCACACACACACACACACACACCACACACACACACACACACAGCTTTAACAAAATGTTTTTCAAACAAAGTTAAAGACTGACAGAAGATGGCGCTACTGACGTTTTAAAAGGCGCTTTTCAAGATTATTTAAAGGGCATTCATATTTTTTAATTAAACTACCATATTTTTTTATATAAATCGATTTCTCACAATTTTCGGCATAAAAAGTTATAAGGATAAGATGGCTAGTTTACGCGATATTTTAATTTAAATTTAACAAAATTTTACACAATTTATAAAATATCTCGTAAAATATTCATTTCTCGACGATTTTATCTAAATACTTTTATGCATAAAATAATGAAAAGAATCAATAACTTTGTAACTTTTTATGTTGTAAATTACGAGAAATCAATTTATTAAAAAAATATGGTGGTTCCATATTGAAAAGCGCAAATAACCTTGAAAAGGTCTTTAAAAAAGTCAGTAACGCTATCTTTTGTCTCTCTTTAACCAAACAATTTTTGTTTGAAGCATTTGTACAATCAAAATAAAAAAGTTTATGGAGGTGTCGATTAAAATGGGACACCTTGTTATACCTGTATATAAAAATAAAATAAATTTGCAGTTGGAAAGACGAAGAATAGCGATAGCCCATGCAAATATGAATAATTATTAATAATTATCAGTACTGACTAATTAATACATTAAGAGCAACTTTCACCTCTCTCTTCTGATCATCATCGTCTTCTTTAATATCATCGTCTTTTTCTTCCTCATCCTCGGTATGTTCCCTTTCTCTATCCTGTTTCTCCTTCTTGCGTTTGTCCTCCTTCTTCTTCTTCTCTTCTTCCTCTTCCAATTCTTCCTCTTCATCACCTTCGTGCGGCTGTATAAGATTCATTGAACAAATATTATAAAATAATTCGAGTACAAACAGAAGAATGAAGAATATTAGTTAAATATATATATATATCAAAAATATTGTAATAATGTGTTATTGAGAGCATTCCGGTCGTTAGTGAGAATCCAATGCTAAACATCAGATGACAGTCCGATTATTGAATGACAAAAAATTGATTAAATATTGTTAATTAAGTTTCAACTTGCAAATGTACACATGCCCCAAACGTAGTCCATCCCCATTTTTGAATTTGAGCTTATACATGTTACATGTTTGCATACCTCCGTATGTAACATAATGTAACCGAATTTAGAGTTAAATGACGTGACTGACTCAAAATAACGGTGGAATTACCTTCTCCTCGTCGTCCCAATTACTCTTATTATCATCCTCTTCATCATCGTCATCGGAAAATTCGGCATTTATGGCTTTGGCCATCTCTCTATCCTTGTCCTTCACGCTGCTTCCCGATCCCGAGTCCTTTTTACTTCGGGTAGCCTAGTAGTACCGCTACTAATGACACAGCAATTTTGTTTTGACTTATATTATTTTTCTTCGTTCCATTTTTTTTTAATTTCGTGCTCCTTCATCTTTCATCTTTCATGTATCATCGAGCAAAATCTTGGAGCTGACAGATGATACGTAGAGAGCAAATATCGCGAGTAGTTTTTTTTTAGTATCTTATATGTCTCAAAATATATATATGAAATATATGCTTTTCGTAGCTAAAAGTATCTACTTTTTTTGCATCGCGTTTTTGGATATTTCTTCACATTCGGCCGTGTGCCAAAAATTTATTACACAAATACAGTATATAGTATCCTGCCGCTATGTGTATCAAACTTTAAAGAGAATTACGTCATCTCGTGATGAATAAAGCATGTACAATTATTTTAGTTCTCGTATCAAAAGCGATTCTATATACATTTGCATATTTTTTTGTTCGATGATGATACACACATAGAGACACATTGCGTTTATACGTATCATCATCATCGATATTTCTTTCTTATTACAGATAAATATGCCCTGCAAAAAGCTCTCTCTCTCTCTCTCTCTCTCAGCAGCTCAGATTTCCTGTCCTGGACAAGTTATTTTATTTTCGCACTTTCGTTTTTATTCTATTTTTTTTTTTTTTTTCGTTTCTAATCCTCGTCTTGCGATCACCAGGTCACCAGGTCACCGGGTGGACCCGACGAGGAGGATCTGTATCCAAAGGGACACGACATTTTTGTGATATGAATAAATTTACCTCCGGCGCAACTTGGTAGTGGTCATGCGCATACGCTGGATGTAGTCGCGTGAGCGCGAGCCCAGGATCTTACGGCGATAGTCGAGCGAGTGCAGGGTACGCTTGCGCATGATGACGTCAGCGCGCGAGCTGACCCGGTGGAACGCGCTCCCGCGGCCGCCGCTGCTGCCGCCGCCGCCGCCGCGGGTCGAGATCCGACCCCGGTAATTCGAGCTCTGGTGCGATATTCTCCCGCGACTCGAGGCGTATCTCTGAGTCGGGGGCGGCGCCATTTCGCTAATCCTCGGTGGTGGCGGGGGCGCGTAGCTCCTCGACTGGGAGTGACGATCCTCGGAGCGGTGGTAAGACGAGGCGCGCTCGCTCTGTCTCTTGTCCTCGTAAACGGCGGACGACGACGAGCCCTTATTATCGTCGTAGGGTGCGGACGATGCCGAGGAGCCGCCGTACGACGAGTACCTCTGTGAGCCGCTTCCGCTACCACCTCCACCCTGCCAAATCAAATTCAATTGTGCTGTCTCCCTCCATTTCTCTCTGTTTTTTTAGTTTTTCATCTCTCCTTCTCTCTCTCTTTAGTTTATACACTTTATTCTACGCACATATGTATATATTTCTATAAGTATACACGTATGTGTGGCTTATGTAATTTACGTATCTCTTGTTTCTGCTCGTTTTTCCTACTTTACCTTCGATTTTACTCCTTCGTAGATCTCTCTACGTATATGGCTATTTAAGTCTTATTTAAGTCTGCGCTACCCTGGCTCCAACTGTGGGCTAATCGAGTAATTGACTAAATGGCTAAACTGATACTATAAGCAATTGCTTTTTTTTTTTTTTTTTTTTTTTTTTTTGATGATGGTTTCGCATGCATGCAGCTCTAATCCAGCCATCGTGATTGATTTTATAATAATCACACCCATCCGTTCACCTATACATACGTGTAGCTTTGACTTTTCCCTACTATATAAGAGTCCCTAAATCTTTTTCTCATTGCCTTATATATTTCGCGTAACCGGTCGAGCTGTGAAAAATGTAATCTCTTGGAACTTGGAAGTGGACTAGCTAATTCCTCATTTCTGATCCACTCGATGAGATGCACTCGATACAAATAATAATGTTTCTCGATAGACCTTTCCAACTTAGTCGAATTTATGTTTCTTTATTACTGTGTAAAACTCCTCTCCAGGACGCATCGAATCTTCTCGTGCGAAGATGATAATCGAACACGAAAGTAACAAGCTGTTGCTATATATATATATACATATACATATATACATATATATATGTAATCGTTTTTAAATACAGCCGTGCTTGGGTCGCACCTGGAATAACGAGATATATATATATTGTATATTAGGTATGTCTATATCCATTTTTTATATATTATCTATATTCTCATCCCCACATCTGCTCTCAAAATATTTTTTTTCCCCTTATTCATTGCGTATAGGGATAGTCTTTTAAGTCTTCGTGTCATTGTTTAACGTCTTAATTGGAAAGGTCTACGAATATATATATTTACTCAAAAATTTGTTTGCGCTCTCTCATACAATTTATATAGCTTTTGACATAATTTAGAGACAACTGATCGCAATGGGTGCTCACGTAGATGGTACTTTGCACCCTTGCATCATGAAAATTCCATATGTCATAAGGCAATATATATATATGTCGTGCACTGAGATCTTTTCTACAATTTCTCTCATCGTTATACTGCGTAAATTAGCTTAACTTGCATTTATAATATGGGAAATAACGTGATGCGCAACTCGCACACATATGCGTATACATCTATCTGTTTCCATATTGACCTTTTTTTTAAACAGCTCTCAAACTTTAATACGACTCATATGTGCGAGTGATATGGTAGGCAACGTTATATATAAATACCATCTAGGTATCGTTTCATCTTTGAATAATTTTATCGTTTAACAATTTGACGGTTTTTCGTAGCGTTCCACAGTAGCAGTGTCCCAACGGAAAAAGAACGAGTGTTCGAGAAGCCGTTGGCACGCGTCGCTTGAAAGGAAAGTGACAACTTATGAATTGCTTCGCATTAAAAAGAGCAACGCCAATTTTTTTTTCTTACATTACGAGTGTCCTGAAAATTATTTTACTATTTCCTTCGCATATGTGACTTTGAACTTTTAATCGACAAGTGAGACAAGCTTTCAGGACCATCGTTTTCAAAGCATATATATTATATTAGACATAGAGAAATGATATATTTAAATCTCTCCCAATTAAAAGTGATTTCTCAATTATTATATATATAGCGAAATGTCAATGGCTACCAGAGATTGTTGCAAATTAATATGTACCGTACTATATAATCTTTATAGATTAGTAATTATATCTTATGTGACATAGAGAAATAGATGGAGCAGATTGGTGAGAGGGAAAACACATACCTGATAAGAATCACTTCTTATCCTTTTGCGCGCAGAGTCGCTGGATGATCGATGATCGTCCCTACCGGAATAGGAATCCTAGAAAAGATATTTGGTTCATTATTTTCTACAAAATATAATAATATTAATATTTTAATATTTTCTACAAAAAGGCATTTGCGATTTTTCCATTTTTTAAATATATACTATATCTAAATATATCTAAATATCAAGGTTGAGTAAGTTCATGATTTTTTTAAAGTTAGTTGCTTATAAAATTAATTTAGTTAAGTTAAAAGTTGCAAGAACAAAAATTAACTCGATTAAAGTTGAAATTAAATTAACTGAAGTTAAATCAAATGTTAATTTTAATAACATTATTAGAATTTTGTTTGTTAATTTTAAAATTTATAATAACAAAGAAATTTTGATTTTTATATAAATATATTTTTTAGTAATTACAATTGATGACAAATGACATAAAAACAATGATACAAAGATAAAAAATTTAATTAGGAAAAGAGTAATTTAGATAATAAATTTAAGGTAAAAAATAACTAGTCGAAGTTAAAAATTAACGCATTTTAAATTAACTAAGATAAGTTAAAAGTTATTAACTTTTTTTTAACTTTTAACTAGTTATTACTTTTTCAAAAATCTTTGTTTTGAAGATATTTGACTGTTGCAGAACATTGGGACATCTTGTACATTTAAATATACATATCTAATATATATATATATATACTTACACGAGGTCTCTTATAACTGTTCGAGTGTTCACCACGACCACCCCTGCTCGAATATCTTTCTGATCCTCCTATTACAAAAAAAGTCAAATTAGCAAAATGATTTATTTCAACTATTGTTTCTTGTAATAATTTATAATTTTTGTAATTTCGCATAATCCCTAATTATGCACATTTTTAAATACTAATTGCATGTATTCAGTATATGCTGTTATCTATATATATTATCTATCGCATCTTAGATAAATAAGTACTATCTTTACTAAATTATGTAGAATAATAGCCAGATAATTTGCTTAAGAGTTATATAGTACATAAAAATATTTCAATAATAGACCTTGAGCAGTAAGCAATAAAACTTACATAAATAAAGTGTATAAATATATTTTTATATCCCTTTTATAATTTATATTTTTTTTATAACTGTGTTTACATAAGCGATTTCAAAAATAGTATTATCTGGAAGTTGTTTAAATAAATTGCTATATAATTTTCTTTTATCTAGATATATTTAAATTCAAAATCGTCTTTATTTTATCTAATTGTAATTGTTGTATCTTTATAAATTTACATATCTTCCATCTTAAATTTATCTAGATAATTTTAAATTATCTAAGCACAACAGTGCATGTCTTTCATATAAATGTTCACTTGAATGCTACCTGAATTATATTTGGAGCGAGAATCATAGCTCGTTGTAGAATATTTGAATCTACCGCCTCTTGAGGATGAATAGCCTCCTCTGCCAGATATATTTCCACCTGCTGAACCACTACTCCATTCATTCCCTCCTCCACCACCTCGACCTCTGTAAGACCCACCTCCACGAGGAATAAATCCACGGCCGCGAGAGCTCATGGTGGAACTAAAAATAAAAGAAAAATTCGAACAATTTTATCATTACATTTACTGTATATATTTTTCATATATAATGTCTCAATTTCAATATCTGTATCCAAAAAAATTGTTGTGATTATTTTTAGGATCATAATGTAAGAAACTTGATAATATATAGTTATATAGCATTTTTTTATATGAAAATATGTGTAATAAGTTGTACAAAAGAATTGTTTAAAATGCGCAGAAGGCTTATTTAACAAGACGTATTGAAGCAAATAATTTTGTATTAATCTTGCAAATGCAACCCATTATGCGACATTAGTGAACATACTTTACCAACCTGTATTTATTGTAACCATAGCTCATGGTTGCAACTTATTGATGAACGAGATAGAGAAAGAGAACGGAGACTGTAGTCTCCTGGATGCAGCGTCAATAGTCTATGGACAAAACACAAATATTTTTATACAAAGTATGCGATTATAGATTATATTTCCGGGAAATATGCATTAACAGCCTCCACACTGCTATAAATTGCTATTCAGGTTCATCGTAGGATTAATATACAAATATTTACACAATAAAATATAATTATTTTTCAAGAATAAAAAAATTGAGAAATAAAAATAGTATAAAAAGCAGCTGCGATTGAAAAAAAATTAAGAAATAAAAATAGTATAAAATGTAATATAATAAGAAAAGAAGGATATTTTGTAAAGCGCCAGTAAATATAATGACAAGAATAAAACTCTGAAAAAATTTTTAGATGACCAAACTGGGCAAAATGTTAATTTATTAAATCATTAAATCTTCCTCGTAACAAAATTAAAAAAAGGTAAATATTGTAGGCCAACTAAACAAGCAATTGCTCGTTTAGTTGGCCTACAATATTTACCTTTTTTTTAATTTTGTTATGAGGAAGATAACGACAGTCGCGTTAACTAAACGTCTTAGTAGACACATGTGTTTTTCACACTTACATTTTATAGTGATGACTATTATACATATTTTATTATATTGACATCAAAAAATCTTACATTTCAACATTTGACTATTGTTCATTTGATAAGAACCTGAACCAAAGGTCGAAACGTTATGAGAAAGATTTAATGATTTAATAAATTAACATTTCGCCACAGTTTGGTCGTCTAAAAAATTTTTTCCAAGAGTTTTATCCTTGTGATAAAATGTAATATTGAAGAACATCATCCTGAACGATAAATAATGCTGAGGAAAAAATATTCATGTCCTTTATTCTGGAAATCATCAGAGATTTATCGTGGAGAACAAAAATTCTAAATCGAAGTCGATAATTTTTGATATCTTTTGTTATCTCGCGTATAAATTCTCGGAGAAAAACGTGGATGGAGAGCCTTACCTCGACGAATTTCGAAGAGAATTCGCAGCCTTCCTCGGTTCCTCCTTATTATCACGACGAAGAACGATTTAATAATCAAATCCTTCGACCCGCACAACACGGCGTCTCGACGAAAGCCCCCGATCTTGCTTCTTCTTCTTTATGGATTTTTCGATTTTTCGAGCCTTCTGTCTGTTTCGAAAAGTCCACGCCAAGTTGAATCACGACATCGACCGAAGTAGATATAAAATGTCGGCACGCGAGTTTTCGAAGTGGCGTTTCATAACATACAACGCAACATCAGACGGCTGACGTTTCATTCGTCGCGTGACGTCAGGCATCGCGCTGTCATTGGTTGCCGCCACTAGGGACCCTGGGAATTTATTAGCCGACGACCAATCGACGCGCAGGACAAGCTAGTTGTAGAGGGCGCTCAGGTCGATGCGACGAACGTTTCAGACGTTTCGATTGATCAATCGGAGCAGAGAATCTTTCCCTCCTTCGTCCTGATTAGTCGATCGATCAAATAATTGAAAACTTATTTATAATATTCTTATAACTATATATTAATGTTATTAATATTATTATTATTTATATCATATGAATATTATATTAATTACTAATAATATATAATAATTAATATTAATTTTAAGATTAATAAATTATAATATATATTTTTGTGTGAATATTATTAATTTAATTATAAAATATTTATAATATATTCTTCTTATAATTTGTATAATTATATTATATTATATATATATATATATATATATATATATATATATATATAATATATTTCCTTTATACATATAAATATATTATATATAACTTGATATGATTATATATGAACCCTTATAATTTATAAGCGCTTATATAGTATATTAATATTTTGTTTTAAATAATATTCAAGTCATTTCTTTTTTTTTGCTACTCTAACACATTATTTTTCCAAGTAGCAAACTGACACATCATTAAATGTCAAAATGACGTTAGTTTAGATTAGTTTAAGTTTACACGAAATATGTTTCCATATAATAAATTAATTAAAATTTGAATTATTTTTATCGGTACTGAATTTTTATGATTAATCAATTTTTTATACAAAAAATGCGTGCGATTTTAAAGCTATTTATTATTTACGTTATATTATTTTTTAATATTTTACTGTTATTGTACTTTATTATCACATCGAAATATTGTCATCACAAATTAAAAAAAAGACATCTATATATATAGAATCATCAATAATGCAATTATTATTTTGAAAAGAAGAAAAGGAGAAAAATAAGACATATTTACGTATTTGAATTAAATCTCTTATAGCTCATACTATATTATACATTAAACAAACCGGGTATGCTTGATGCATCATGTGCTTACGTCGTCACATATTTTATTGACACTGGTAATACTCGCTGTAATTATTCACTTTGCACATTTCCTAATTGCCCAGCCTACCACAAAAGACAAAGCTGGAAATTTATTAAGAATAACAATATATGTTCAATCATATATAATCGGTACAAATTGATGAATTTTTTTTCAGAAAATTTTAATATAGTAATAACGATAACATACAAAACATTTAAATTTAATATACTGCTTTTCCATTTAATTCTATTTACACACAAGAGATTCTCCTTCAAGTATATCTTGTCATGTTGGTGTTGGTGTTGGTGTTGGAAAAAAAATCCTACTAATGGAAACAAAAAATTATTTCTATAATATATATTTATATATAATATCTACAAGAGGAAAAGATAGAGAGAAAGCAAGGGAAAAAGGGGGAAAAAGATCAAAACATACATCCACATTGTATGAAAGTTAAATACAAGCTTAGTTAAAAGACAAAGTAATAAATATGCAATCACAATTAACTGCAATTATTCATTCTTGTTCTTTTCAGACAGTCAGACTTCTCTGTATTTTAAAAACTCACACAACACAATTTTTCTTATTTCGAATTATTCCCTCAGTTTCCCCCGGTTCCTATTTCTGCTTCAATGTTGTAAAACGAAAATTCCGTATTACGTAAATTACAATTACATATTTACGCATGTAATAAATTCACTAATCATTTTCACTCTACACATGACAAAATGGTGAAATTTAATGAAAGAACAACGCGAGAGAAGAAGCCTTCGGCTCTTATGGAAGTTTAGCTCGTTAAGAATAATTAAGGGATGATCAGAATATGAAGAAGGCTCGACTGTATACGATATTAAGCGAACTATGTACATTGATCGGACAAAGTATTCTCGTTTCAAAGCTCGACCATTAATTATCGGCAATAATACAATTTTTGCCGGTAATTAAATACTCTGCGTTTATACATGCTTAATCGCACGCACACACACGCACACACACATACATACACACACATTACGTACACAATTTTTCGTAATTATAATATTGAGCATCCGTTCGTCTTCATCGATATTTCGGTCGCAGAAATTCGAGGAGTTGATTTAACACTTTATTCTCCTTTTTTTGTTTAAAACCTGGCTTCTATGTATTTAAATTTCTCCGCTATTGTTCGTTCGTTTATAATGGTACTAATTGTAATTTGCTTTGTCTATAACAATAAGGAGACGACATAAGTTACGCAACGCGTGTACGTTAACTCTAAACGATCTCTCTCGCTTAACCATCGAGACTATATTCCGGGTCTAAGGCCGAATGAGAAACGTTCACATCGTCGGAATGGGTCTCGTATTGGTAGCAATTTTCGATCACTAAATTCGCGAGTTCCTTTATACGCTCGTACGGCCTGGGATCCGCTATTACTGTGTGCAGCTTCTCCATTCCTCCTTCCTTCACCACCAGTGCGCAATATTTGTATGCTAAAACAAACATCGGACATCGTAGAATAGCTAAAAGGACATATACAATACAAGGTAATTCATTTTAATAGCCCCAGGCAAAAGTTTTTTTTTACTTCAAGGGAGGCTATAAGATGATGTCACTGATTTGACCTTGTATAATTTTGAAGGTCACCTTCAATTTCTTAAAAGGAACCTACTATGTTTCGTCACATATTCTTGTAGCTTATCTCGAGAGCTTTCTAAAACCTTATATTATTTTTTTCTTAATTAATTAAGAAAATAAATTTAATACTTCGAAAACCGAATATTTTACAAGATCTTTTATATTTTATGTGAAAAAATTATTAACTTGAAACTTAAGAGAAAATATTTTATTATAATGTTTTTTTGAAAAACTCTCAAGATAAGCTACAAGAATATGCAAAAAAAATAGTAGGCTCCATTTAAGAAATTGAAAGTGACCTTTATGTGACCTTCAAATGATTATACAAGGTCAAACTAATGACATCATCTTATGTCCCCCTCAAAAAACTTTTGTTTGAAACACACTTTTTTGTATCTCCTCAGTTTTCAAAATATCTGCCAAGCGCTTAAAATAAACCATCCTGTTGGTGCATTCGCAACATACATAAGAGAGGATTAATAATTGTAATAATATACGTACGATATACTTTGGTGAGATTGGCGAGAGCCCAAGCAGCCCAATGTTGACACGGTGAAGTGTGATATACATCCAACAGACGCAATAGCGGTCCGAACGAGCGATAATTGATATTACGTTCCGCCTTCAAGTCCCAACTTTCAATCGCCTGTACCATGTATTTGAGCACCTCGTTGCGAGTCGGTTTCTCTATCGTCCAAGCTTCAAGACCATCCGATGCCATGTGCGCCAATATTCCAGCAGCATTGTACGGAACCTATGCAAGAAATACACTGTTAAAAATATATATATATATATATATATATATACATATTTTTCAGACATCAAAATGATGTCATTTTAACGTTTAGTTATAATTATAGACGTCAGTTTGCTACTTGAAATATATTATATAATAATAATAATAATATATAATAATATAGAATAATAATACTATAACAATATATAATATAATTATATATATAATATATAATAAAATAAATAATAATAACAATAAATGTAATATATCAAGAAATATAGCTGTTGCTCTTAATGAACGATAGTATCCAAATAAAATTAAAATAAAGGATTGACAATTAATCTAAGGAAAAGAGAGAAAAAAAACCTCAATTCCGTCGCTATTAGAGCGCAACAAGCTGGCGAAGACAGTCACATATCGTTCCTGCATAAGGTGGATCCGAAGATATTCAACTTCCGCCACGTTGCCGAGCAAACCCATCATATTTCTCAGCAACTCCTCTTTATGTGGATATTGCTAAAGGATATACGAAAAAATATTATTACAATATATAAAAAAATGCGCGCTCAAACATATATTATGATAAAACCGTACCTTCACGCATAGAAGGAAAAGCGTCATGCCCTTCTCATCTAGGAATCGTTGGCAATTCACGGACGTTTCATCAGTCATGTTCCACATCGTCGACCAGGCGACTTCTAATACGTCATCGAATATGTTGGAGTCCACTCTATATTCGACCAATTCTAACATTGTCTTGACGCAACCCAACTTGCCAAGTAGTCTCTTTTCTTTACCTTCCACTTGACAAGCCAAAGAGTTTAATAAATATATGCCGATTCTTTGGACGAAGCTCTCTGGTTCCGAATGTTTGGCTGAATGTAAAAGCACCTTCACCAGCGCTTCATAATTCGACATCTGCAAAAGTGAAAATGATAATAATGATAAAATATTGCAATAATTATATTATCATTTTTACTATGTATATTTACTCATATAAATTAAATTTTATTATTCAATTAAATTTGATCATATATTCAATTTAATTATATTTAATTTTCTTATTATAATTATTACAATAATTATTTATTATATATTATATACAATAATTATATAAATTATATATTATTATACACTATATATAATAATTATTATTATATTGTACATTATTATATATTATTATCCCAATAAAAAAATGTTTTTTCTATGCGATTTAATTGCAAAGAATTTATTGGGTAAAATGCAACGTTATTATCAATGCGAAAAATTAAAAGAAGGCAATACGAACCACATCTTGAGGTATGCGAAATTGACACAAGGCTAAACAACCGTTCCTCATCATAGTCTCCTCATCTCTGTGCGCGCTCATGCCAGCAAGTAAGGTACTGATAATCCTTCTCTTCATTCGTGTCACTAGTTCACCCTTTTCCTTCATCTTCACTATGTAAAATAACGTGGCGCTGCAACACAATATTAATAGAATCATATTAAGCTAGAATTATTATATTATACATTAAGAGAATCAGAATTGCACAAACATTGTAATGATGCTTTCTCAAGTCTCGCAAT